CTCCTCCTCCTCCTCCTCCTCCTCCTCCTCCTTCTCCTCCCCCTCCCCGCCCCTCCCCGTGCAGGACAGGCTGGGCGCGGGAGGCGCCGCCCGTGCCGAGCAGGACGCCCCCTTGCGCTACGCGGTTGCGAAGAGCGGCCACGGAAAAATGGACGTGGCATCGTTCGAACGTGTCCGATTTTTGTTTTCGGCGGAGACTTTCGCCCAGACCCCCTCGAGTCATGACAAAATCACGACGGGGGGTTCTTCCTTATTTTCCGCCTCCCGGGGTTCTGACAGGGCGTCGGGACCACCAAGAAGCGACTCAGGATGGAAAGTCGGTCTTGGGGAGCAGGTCGAGACCTCTCGGGTCGACGTTGGGAGGTTGGGCGAGGAGAACCCTGGACCTTCCTGCGAAGAACCAGCGCACGGAGCCGAAACAAAATGCATGGGGGAACGGACGACGTCCGAGCGATGGCACAGAGAGCGGGGCTGTCGACGCCCCACCCCGCCCCGCCCCGCCGTGCCGCACTCAAGTGCCCCCCCCCCGGTCGTGGATCGCCGCGATGCGACAGCTCCTGGGGCCGCCCCCCTTCCTCGAGCCGCGCTCCAGGGTTATGATGTTCCAACCTACTTGTAGCCTTGATCGCCAGAAAGAATTTCGAGCACCAAGAAAGTGCCCCACAAACTCGAGGGGTTTCACGTGTCGGGCCCTGGGAGACACTCGCCCGACACTGTCTCGACACTCTTTCGATAATCTTTCGAGACTTTTCTCCGCGTGCTCGAAATTATGTTTGGCATGCGGTCCTTAAGCACGATGGGAGCACCATAACTCCATGGGTCATTCTTGCCCAGGGCCACTGCTGCGCGCAGCGGACCTCGTGCCCAGCCCGTGTGGCCCCCCCGCCGCCCCATGGGACCCGCAGTTGGCGCCGGAGGATGCCCGGCGGCTGCCGGGGGAGGGCCTCCGCACGCCGGGGCACCTCCCGGAGCGGCCTCCCGGGAGCCCGGCGGTGCTCTCCCGCGCAGCATTCGGGGCTCAAGAGACGGGGGTCAATGCGTCAGTGCAAACGGGGGTCAGCCAGAGCGCCCGATCTTGCAGGATCCTGCAGGGCCAGGGCCGCACCGACCCGGGCTTGGGTGCAGGATCCTGAAGGATCCTGCAGGATCCTTCGCATTGACCCGGCTTTGGGTGCAGGGTCGCGCAGGGTCTTGCAGGATTTGGCAATGCCTGACTGACCCGGGTTTGGATTGACCCAGGTCAGAAGATCCCTGAAGCGCTTGTGCGGGGGGGGGGCTGCTTGGAGATGGTTGCTGAACCAGGTAGTCAAATGCAAAAACAATACTGTTTCCCCACTTTGTTGCTCAGAGTTGAGAATTTCGAGCATAAGCGCGTGACTGAGTCTGGGTTGCAATTTGTTTCCTTTTGTATCAGTGAGCCCGAGGACTGTGTCTTATGGTTTTCTTTGATCAGGGAATTGGCGCAAAAGGAAATCAAACAATGGCAGATTTACACATGATTGGATGCTGTTCAAATTTGAAAGGCTGGTACATCAAATCCAGTTTCGACCTTGTTTGTATCCGCGAATTCTCCCAAGTCAAAAGTGCACAGCAAGAATCAATGTCCAAACCTGCCACAAGTTGGCTTGAGCAGCGCGGGCTTCAACATTTAAAGGAAACGCAATACGAATGTCCCACTTACATGTGTATCTTCAGTTTCCAGATCCGCACCAGTGCAAACCTGCCACGGATTGATGTTGCTCGTGGGCACCTGAAAATTCAGAATACCACGAAAACCATAACACTTTTTGAAACAAACAAACACACAACTCAGAGCACTCGCCGCCGACCGCCACCGGAGGTTCAAAGTTTTGAACGTTTGTTTTGCTTTTGTGTTTTTTTTCATATTCGCACAGATGGGATCAGTGTGTGGCAGATTTGCTGATTCATTGATTGAGTGGCACATTTGCACACATGATGAAATCGATGTGCGGCGTGTTTGCAAGTTGTTCCCTCCTTTGGGGCGATCCGGAATTTAGTCGTGTCTATAATGTCTCAAATAAGTCCATGTGTACATCTCCCACACATTGATTTGTCGTGCCGGTCATTGCTACAAGAGGAACTACTTGGTAAATTTGCCTCAACATAGCTTCGTGTGTGCGAAGTTGATTGTTTAAGTAAAAATGGGGAGTGTAGACTTCGGAGGATGGTTTGCGGCGAGTCCTGCGAGAACGGAAGTTCGAAAGCAGCAACAAGGCGCAGGATTCCGCTGCTCGCGAGGACGGATCGTGTTCCAAACGCGGCCAAGCGGAACAATAGGCCCATGGTAGGCCTACAGTAGATGTGCGGTAGACCCGCGGCCGCCCATTGGCGCATGCTTGGGGTATCCGCATGCCGATGGTAGGCCTCTGAGCAGGCTCCGTAAAGCGTATGGTAAACCTATGCGTAAATTATGCCTAAGCCGATCGAAGGCCAATCCGGTTAGACATGATTCAGAATGCAATTCAGGACATCATAGTTGCAGATGGAAAAGGTTTTGGATGTGATTCAGACTTCGGGTTATGTTTACACATTGGGTCAACATTAATTTGATGTTCGACATGCAAGCCTGTGAAGGTATGCGGCATGATGGCCATAGGCCAACCGTAAGCTTATCGTGGACGTATTATACTAGGCGTGTGGTGCCTGCAGCAGGTCTGCAGTAGGCCCGCGGCCGCCCATCGGCTTCCGCACAGGGTAGTCCTGATTTCATGATGGGCCTACAAAGCGCATGTGGTCGGCCCGTGGCCGCCGATTGGCCGACGCACGGGTTGCGCGCAGGCTTTTGGTAGGGCGATGCGCGGGCTGCGCATAGGTTCATGCTAGGCTTATGCGTGTTACCTGCGCTGGTTGTTGGTAATATTTGAATGCTGCAATTCGGACTCGAGTGAAAAGATGTTAGCATGAATTGGAAGCTGGTGTTGGATTCGATTTCGAAGTTGCAATAGAGCTACAACCCGAATTACACATTGTATCAACGTTGAAGTAGTGCTACAAACTGCATAAACCTATGGATGTCGACGGCTGACCTGGCATAGTATAGCCCTCGGTAGGCATGTGGTAGCCTTGCGGCATACGGTTATCTATGACAGAGGCTTTGCTTGGGCCTATGGTGGGCCTGTGCGCAGCCTACACGTTGGGCCGCCACAGGCTCGTGCACAGCCTGCGCATAGAGATACGGTCGGCGATCTTGCGGTACATAAGCAGTAGGTCTTCGGCCGCTCGTCGGCCCATGCGTAGTTCACGCGCGCGCGTATTGCAGCCTTCAGCGCAGCTCATGCGAAGGTCTGCGGAGGCGCGACGGCTAATAAGCACAGGCACACGGTCGGCCTACAAAGGCCAGCGGCCGGCCCACGGCCGCTCTTGGGCACGTGCGTTGGCTACGCGCAGGCCCGAGGTAACGCTGCGGGCAGTCGGCGCCAGGGTTGATGAGATGCGTATTCGTCGGCTTTGCACATGCCGATGGCAGGCCGACCTGGCCAGGGTTAGGTCAGGAAGCAGATCGAATGAGAGCTCTATTCAGATTTGCAGAACATATGAAATTTGTATTGCGCTTGGGGCCAGGTTTATACGATGCTTCAGATGTGAGTTGGCATGCGGTGTGCACAGTCCGATGGGGGTCTATGACAGGCGTCTTTCAGGCCAACCATATGGCGATGGTAAGCCTACTCGAGGTGCCGGATAGGCTCGTGCGTAGCATACCATCGGCATTTGGCAGGTCTAGAGTTGGCCTGCGGCCGAACACCGGCTTCTGCACAAGCTATTTCAGGCATGCGATTAGCCTGCAGCGCGCCCGTGGTCGGCCCGCGGCCGCTTATAGGCCGACGCGTAGGCTACGCATAGGCCCATGATAATTAGGCCCACCCGCAGTTTGCGAATAGGTCCATGGTAGGTACATGCGCGGGCTATTTCCATTAGAACGATGCGAAGCGGCATGAGGAGATGTCGCTCAGAGCTTGTCGGTTAAGAAGCACACGCACAATACGAACGACAATAATGTCATATTTGCATCGGCCTACGGAAGCCCGCGGCCGGCCTACCATAGGACAGCCATAAGTCTATGGCAGGTCTGAAGTGGGCTCGTGGTCGGCCTTTGCCTATGGTAGGCCGATGGTGGGCTTGTGCGTCGCCTATACGATGAACTGCCGTAGGCCTAGCATTAGCCCGAGCATGCAGTAAAAGTAGTGCTGCCTTGCGGCAGGTCATCAGTAGGCCAGCGGCCGCCTGATCCGTCGGCCCACGCATAGCCGACGGCCATGCCTACCGCAACCCTGAGCGCAGCTTGTGTGGAGGAGCATTTTGGGCCGATGCGCAGGCAAGCAAGCGTCGGCAAATTGTAGGCCTGCAATGAGTATGTGGTCGAACCGCGCCCGCCCATTAGCGCGTGCACTGGCTGCGCGTAGGCGCATGGTATGTCTGTGCACAGGTTGGGCACAAGGCTTAGATTCGCAGACGTTGCGTAGGTCCATGGCAGGCATACCTGCTTCGAGCAAGTCTTAGATGATAACCAAAGAAAGGGGCAACTTCGGACCTGGGGTATAGCTCGAAGATGTTTTCATTCGAACTATACGAGCAAGTCGGATTGCACTTATAGTGGCGCTCATGTGACATGGGCGCATGCAGGTCTACGGCGGGTGAACCATGTGCGAACCATCGGCCTCTGGTGAGCATGCGCAAGGCTTGCGGTGATCCTCTGCGTCGCCCGCGCATTGGACGGCGGTAGGTCTACAGTGCGCCGGCGGCCGCCCATCGGCGTTTGCACAGGCGCAGCCTAGGCTGAGGGCAAGCCCACAACACGATTGTGGCAGGCCCGCGGACGCTTGTGGGCTTACGCGCACGCTAATGATAGGCCTACGGAAGGCCCACGCGCCAGCTCCGCACTGGCCCATGGTAGGTATACGTGTGGGCTACGCCTAGGCTGACGCCATGATCAGTTGAGAGCAGCAGTGCGTCGAACTGTATTCATGCTATTCAACAAGGATGTGCTTTCGCACTGCATTAACTTTTAAGCACGCATATACGCTAGCTTAGAAACAAAATGCCCAGCGCATATACATATATAGTCATATATATATATATATAGATATAGATGTATAGGCCGACGTTTGCCTACGGCAGGCCTACCACAGGCCAGCCGTGGCCCTACGGCAGGCTCACACTACGCCTGTGGTAAGGCTGCGGCCTATGGCAGGCGTTTGGTCACGCAATGCCGATGCAAGTGGTTCTATGATACCTTGCACGTTGGATTTTCAGAGGCCTATGCACCGCCTGCGCATAGGCCTATGGTCAGTCGATCGTGCGCTAGGCGCAGCCAGCAACATATGTACACGTACGCGGTCAGTTTCCCCAGGAGTGCGTGTCCACGCGGACGTTCGTGCAGGCGAGACCGCGGAGGGCGTACATGTACATATGTCGTTGGTCGCCCACAGTAGGCTTGCGGCCGCCTAGTATGGATAGGCATGTGGTCGGTCTACAGTCGGCCTTTTGGTAGGCCCGCGGCCTCCCATAGGCGCATGCGCTGGCTATGCGTCGACCTATGCTAGGCGTGCGCACAGGTTGCTCAAAAGGCCTCTGGCACCGTATTCGTAGGTTATGAGTAAGCCTAACGCAGCAGCTATGAATTGGCCGATGGCTACGCATGGGCCTTGGGCATCCCACAGGCCTCCGCACAGCTTTCGCATAGGCCCATGGTCGGACTATGCACACGCTGTGCGCATTCCTGTGGGTGGGCCTATGCGTAGCCTATGCACGGGCTTATTGCAGGTGCGGAGGAGATTGGAGGAGTTTCAGGAGCAGTTGATGTTCCCTTTCCTTCCCTCCACGAACTCCGTATCATGTCAGTGAGAGTTTTACGAGTAACGTCATATTGGCTATCACCGTCGTCTCGCCTGGCGCATGATCCGGCCAGCGATGCATTCGGTGGGAATAGCAGCTGAGCACGATTGGTTTCCCCCGCCATGTCCCCCAGAGGAGAGTGGCGATGAGGTCTTGTACGAACATGGGCGATGATCCCTCATGAATTCTCATTCTTCCAGTCCATGAAGGGGAGAAAGATCTAGAGTAGCTGGCGATCGTCCTTCGCACTGTCCGCATGGGTTTTTGTCATGAGGGCATTTATTGTCCGATTACACCTTCTACTGGTCATTATATCCACCCTGCCCCGCCGTGTCCTCATCCTTCAGCTCATCATCATGCCTTGTTGTGCTGGAGATGGGTGAAAAGGCGGCGGGTGGGGGTGATCTCACTTCGATCTTTCTCGCTGAAGGTCACGAGGTAACAGTGTCCGCTTCCTCCTTAACTGCAGTCCTTGCTCCTTTGTTTCCTTCTCGCGCGGATGTGGCAGGCAGCGGGTTTGGAGCATGGGGCGAGAGATGCGCGGCGGAAGCAGGGATGGAGCGCGCGCGTGCGCGCGCGCATCAGCAGTCAGCCCGTCGCGCGAGCGCGCGCGCTCTAGAAACCCCACGCGCCCTACCACAATCGCCCCGCATCAAGGGGGGGGGGGGGGGGGGGGGGGGGGGGGGGGCGCGGCGCTGCCCGAGTTGCGCAGCCAACGCGCGATTCGACGAGGCCCCCCCCTCCGCCCACGTCCCACGGAGCCTCCCGGGACCTCCCCGGGAGCCCCCCCGCAAGGGGGCCTCCGGCGCCGTGCATGGGGGGGCCCGCCTGCGCCGGCAGCGCGCGCCGGCCAGGGTGGCCCCCCGCCCTGGGAGCTTCGCTCGAGCTGTAGACTTTCCGCCTCCGGTCGGGCAAGGAGGTTCGTGGACGGCGAGCAATGGAGAGGAAGCACGTTGCCACATATTTCCCAGACGTCTTGATTTTTTCATAAGAGACTTTTCTTAAACATGAGGAGAAGGTTTATATATATATATGTTCTAAAAACTGTGTCCAGCATTTTAAATCCAGGTTTAATTCAACGATTGGATTGTTCGGGTGCCCACTGTCATGGCATCCGCAAAGCTAGATATATACAGAAGCTTTCCTAGGGGTCCAGACGGCAATGTCCGTGTGGCGTGCAGCCGGTTGCTGTGCTTGTGGTTGTCGTTGTGGTCAGTGGCATTGCCGGTGTTGATGCTATTATCATTCTTCACGCAACAATTTTCACGGCTTCAATGTACTGTCGAATTGCTGCGCCGGGTGCATGATGCTGAGTTTTTATTCCTCAAGACGAAGTATTGTTGCCCCCCGTCCAGTACACGGGTTTTGCGTTTTTTTGGCTACACAAAAAAGGAAGTCCTGAGCCTCATTCGGGCCCCTGGCCCCAATACAGCAACAACGGCTCCCCCCCGTTTGATACAGTGTTCATAAATGACTGGACACCGCGGTCTCGCTCGAGACGTCCCTCACAATGTATTCACGAACCATGCTCTCGCCCAGGACTTTTTTGCAATTCGTTCATGCGCGACGTCCAGGACCTGCGCTTTTGCAGGATACCTCCGCCCAATACACCACGGACCCGTGCTCTCGCCCAAAGACTCTCGACGATTGGCGAAGTTTGCAGATCCTTTCCAATGCCCCCCCCCCCCGGTGAGAGTGGTCCGTCAGGACCAGCCTGGCCGCCCGCTCCGATGTCCTGCCCGACCCGCCCGTTAGGGTCTGTCGGTATCGTTTAACAAATCCCCATCCCCATCCCCATCCCCGTCGAGACCCCCACCAAATCACCACCCCAGTAGGGGATACGCCCTTCGACATCCGAAGGAAATGGCCTATAGATTCCCACCTCCAGGGGGGTAGAACTCGGCCATTGGGGCCCAGGCCACGCCCCTGGGGACGGGGATCGGTTGAACGATGCCCGTCAAGGCCTGGACTTCCGCGCGTCTGGAAGTCGCCCGCCCGCCGACGCGCCCGCTGCGATGCCCGCCCGCCCGAGGCGCCCATCGGGGCCAGCCTGCCCGTCGGGGGCCCGGCTGCTCAGGCTGATTGCCAAGCTCCTTCGCGCGGGAGCCTCCCCTCTTCCTTCCCTCGGTCCCTCGTTGTTTTTTCTCTTCTCTTCCCGTCCTCCTCCGCCTCCTCCTCCTCCTCCGCGTCCTCCTCCTCCTCCCTCCTCCTCCTCCTCTCGCTCGTCCTACTTTCAGCGGACGATCGGAGACGAAGAGGGAGGGTATCGAGGGCTTTGGGGAATTCATGTCGAATGGCCCGCGACCCACGAAGAGCGAGCCGTGTGAAAATGACGGTGGTTGTTGTTGTTGCTGTGGTTGTTTCTGTTGGTGTTCCCTCTGCTGGTTGAGAGGCTCTGCCTAGAAGGGTTCTTATTCGGTATGCTTAAAGGGCCAGGCAGTGCAACTCGCCCCGGGCGGTTCCCCCCCGCGGATCCCCCAGTTACGTCCCTTTAGCTAAGCGTTGCTTATATCATCTTAGCTTTGCTTATTTCATCTTAGCTTAGCTTAGCTTCATCTTAGCTCCGGTTTATCTTAGCTTAGCTTACCTTCATATTAGTTTCGTTGAGCTTTAGCATAGCAGAGCACAGCATAGCATAGCATAGCGTAGCATAGCATAGCGCAGCATCGCATATCATAGCATGGGTGTAATTCCCTACCTAGGCTGTGTTTAGAGGGTTAGCTTAGCTCTGCTTAGCATAACTTAGCACAGCGCAGAACTGCATTAGTATAGTACAGCATAGCATAACATAGCCAAGCATAGCATTGTGTTGATTCGGGAAACCAGTGTTTGATTCTCTACCTAGGCTCTGCCTAGAAGGGTTTTTTTTTTTACTCGGTGAGCTTAAAGGGCCGGGCAGTGGAAAACGCCCCGGGCGGTTCCCCCGGCATCCGTTCCGCGGTTCCCCCGGTGACGTTCCCTTAGTTTAGCGCTGCTTATCTCATTTTAGCTTAGCTTATTTCATCATAGCTTAGCTTCATCTTAGCTTAACTTAGCTTCATATAGATGTTGTTTTCCTAGATCCTCCAACTCCTAGGTAGGGTCGCACTGGGATAATGCTGCTGCTGCTGTCGGAAACAGCTTCCATAGGGGGCGAGTCTATGGTCGAAGTGGTGACCATGGGCCATGGGTTACGGGGGGTGCAGCGCAGTCCCCTGAGATCCGACGTTGCGAACAAATTGCAGCTTCGTAAAAAATAGCGCCCAGAACCCTAAATCCTACCTTTCCGCGCCACTGCTCGATCCGCATCGATCTGCGAGGGTCCACGGGCCCGGAAGACAGCGAAAACGCCCGTCGGGAAAAATTTGCAACGCCAGGATCTCAGGGTCAGCCTTGCCGAGGACGAGCTGCCACGAGGGCTGCAGCAGCTGCTCGGCCCCGGCGCCGCGACGCTCCGGGAGCTGCGCGACGAGCTGCGCCGCCTGCGCGGGCGGATGGCCGCCCGGCGGGGGGGTCGCCCCGAGGACTCCGCCACGGGCCGGCCGCGGCGGCGGGGGCCCTCGGCGCGCGTCGACTGCACGTAAGAGTGACCGTTCGCGGGAGTGACCTATAGTGCGGGCTCAATGGCTCAATGGGGTTCCCCGATCGCGGATAGCAGCGTTTTGCGCGCTTTCTGTTGCCCCCCGCGGCCCCCGGAAATCCGCGCACCAAAGTTCGTTCTTACCCAGGGTCACTCTTGCGCGTAGCCGAGGGTGGCGGCGACGGAGGCACAGAGAAAATCCGATTCAGATTTTTCTGCTTGCACGAAGCATCCGACGCGTACATCGGGGACTTGGGCTCTGCATTCGAAGAAAGAACGCTAAACATAGATTGCTGGCGCTCCGCGCGGAGTTCTTGGATCCGCGCTGGGCCCCCCCGGCGGCGCCAGAGGCGCCGCCCCTGGGTCCAGCGCAGATCCAAGGAATCCGCGCCGGGCTCGCCAAAAGTTGCTGTTCATGATGGCGTTGTTTCCTCCTGCCCTGCACGCGCACCACCGCTTGGAACGCCACACTTGGTCGCGGTTCCCTGCTCTCCTCCTCTGTCCCTTGCGCTCCTTCTCGCCCATCTTGGGCTTTGCTTCTTCGTGGCCGTCTCGCGTGTGTGCTCTTGCGTGCAGTGCGATTTCGGCCGGGGCTTCGGTGTGGTTCCGAGGGGTATGTCGCATACCGCGGTCGAGCGCTTAAGGGACCGCGGGGGAAGTCGAATCTCGAGGTTTTCCTTTTGGGAGTTTGTTATTGTTGTTTGTTTCCTCCTCCTCCTTCAAAACAATAAGCGAATGCAGAAATCCCCAGCAGGCACATCCAACAAAATAAATCTGCCTGCCAGCTGGTGCCCCACGAAGATGTCGCGTCCCCCGATGGCCCCAGGGGCCAGCAGAGACCCTGGGGCGCCACAGGTTTCTTGAAACATCGACGACGAATGTGCTCCACGAGTTCTGATACGGGTTTATGATACTCCAACCTCCTCCTCGTTCTCCTCCTCCTCCTCCTCCATCTCCTCCTCCTCCTCCTCCTGATCACCATCGGCATCATCATCATCATCGTCATAGAGATCATCCTCATCGTCGTCGTCAGCGACAGCATCATCATCGTCAACATCATCATCGTCATCATCATCAAGATCAACGTCATCATCACCATCCTTACCACCACAATCAGCATCATCATCAGCACCACCACAACCACAACCATCACCATCACCATCACCACAATCATCATCATCATCATCGTCAGCATCATCATCACTCTTATCACCACCACGCCATCATCATCGACCCCTCCTCGCTATACCATTCACCTCACTCCTCCTAACTCCTCCTCCTCCACCTCCCCCTCCTCCTCCTCCTCCTCTTCCTCCTCCCTCTCCTCCTCCTCCTCCTCCTCCTCCTCCTCCTCCTCCTCTCTCCATCCGCGCATATTGGACGCATTGCTGATGCGGTGCGATCTTGGAGCTCACTTGCCAGGCGCCACCACGGGGGGGTCAGCGCCGACCATTATGAGATTCAAACCTACTCTAGCCTTGACCACCAAAAATAATGTCGAGCATAAACACAATTTAGACTCGTCACGGTTTTTACGCGTCTGGCCCTGGGATGCGATGTTCGTTCGACATTGCTTAGATATTTCTGCGGGTGCTCGAAATTATTTCTGGGATGTGGCCCTTAAGTACGATGGGAACAACATAAATACAGATGAGCATGAGAGATTAAGGACCCCCCTTCTCGAAAAGCTGGGCTTATGTGGGGCGTGTCCCTCTACAGGAGGACTATTCAAGAACGGTGCAACAATAGTCTGGGGACGATGTGTTGACTATTTTCTGTTACTTTTTGATTATTTGAAACTATTCGTTTTCCCCCGAAATCCGCCTGTCGGCGGACATGGCCGACCCAAAGTTGGGCCAGCGTCTCTTTACCAGCTTGCTGGACAGCTGGCCCAGTTTCTGAAGCACGTGTGTCCGTCCAGCGTGACCACATAAGGCGGCCCAGGTTTTCTTTTTTTCTGTGACACTTCGGAGAGCTGGCCCAGCCTTCTGACAGGATAACGATCTTCCTCATAATTTCTGCTGCAGCAAGATGTTTGATGGTATGCGCCTGCAGTATGGAGGGGTCCGCGCGAAGTCCCTGGTTCGGCGATGGACCGTGCCGCCCCTTCCTCGCGCCGCGCGCCAGGGTGGCGCCGAGAAGTTCGCCCGGACCTCCTGCCTCTGCGGCCGGCTCCCTTCTTTCCCCCCTCCTTGCATGCGGGACAATCCGAAATGACGCAGCCTGGACTGCTTGGACGCGCGAGTGGATCGCCTCTGCCGCGCCGCGACATCAAGGGTCTGTTGGTGGTGGGGGTCAAGGATGAGCATCCTTTCTGTTATGGCTGCCTCCGGTGTCACATTGATTACCTCCGCGAGGAGACTGGGCGGGCGACGAAAGATGCTGGAACGACTTCAACCGCACCCGGTCCGCCCATAATGATAAGAGACACCGTCTCGGCATTGAGATGAGATGCGGTAATAATTCGCAATTCCAGCGGTCCGAACTTGTCGGCGTTCGTGACGTGGGATCCATATCATCCCATTGATATTTCTATTGCTCCCCATGTTCCTTTTTCCAATTATTCTCCCTCTCTACTCACTCTTTCGTTCTATTTCTCCCCGTGGCTCATCCCTTCCCCTGCCTGCCTCCCTCTTCTCCCGTTCCTCGGCCACAACGTCCCCCATCCCCTCCTCCCTCCCGCCTGCACTTCTCCTTCACCCTCCCTCACTCCTCCACCATGGGGGGTCTTTTGGGGGGTTCCAGGTCGGCTTCGAAACCCGTCGGCGCATGGAGGAACATACAACGTGCTGGGAAAGGGGAGGGTGGAGGGGGGTAGGATGTCACACGCGGTGCAAACGCCCCATCCACCCCTCCTCTCTTTCCCCCCGCCTCTCCCTCCCATCCACTGTTCTTCTGCTGCAGAACATTCCCCTCCCCTCCCGTAGCCATTTTGGCTCAAGCGTCCCACCTGCGACGCGTTGTGGACCCCCCAGCTGCACTCTCGGTGAGGGGACCCGCTATGGCGACTGGTGGTGTGCTTCCCGCGGAGCCGCAGTTCTACGTGAGTCTGGGGCTTGACCCCGCCAAGACGGTTGCGGCGCTCCACGCGCTGCCGCAGAAGGTCACGCTCGCGGTGGAGCGCCGCACGGGCGCGCGTGAGGCGTACCGGGAGGTGGTTGCCAAGGCTATTATGAAAATGTGGTCGAAGGGCGCGATGCCGTTTGACGGGACGGATCGCGTCGAGCGCGCCATGCAGGCGATCATGAACAGCACTTACTCGTCGATCGTGCTGCCGCGGATTGATTTTCGCACAGCGGTGGCGCGCGCGAGGGAGCTCCAGGAGCAGCCTGCCGCCAGTACCCGCCGCAGTCGCCAGGCGCGGCGTCAGCGCGAGAGGAGTCGCAGCCGCCGCAGCAGAGGACGTGGTGCCAGCCCATCCGCGGCGCCCCGACAGGACCGCGGCCGCGGCAGGACGCCTGCGCTCGGAGGAGGAGGAGGAGGAGGAGGAGGAAGAAGAGAGCAGGGCGGGCCCATTGAGGTGCCGCAGGCGAGGAGCGGCACTTTTGCGTGTGGACGTGCAGGAGGTGAGGCAAAAGGCGGAGTGCTGAGTGGAGGGCGCAGCCGGAGTGCACGGCCTACGCGCCCGGGCGTGCGCAGCGGCGTGAGGACCGCGCCCAGCAGGAGCCGCGCTGTACGGCGGAGCGGGGAGGCTGCGAGGAAGAGCAGCCGTGGCCGCTCCCGTGAGGAGCGGGGGAACGTGAAGGAGAAGAAGAAGAGGAATGAGGACGAGGAGCCAGAGGTGCGAGGGGGTGCGAGCGGCAGGGCCGCAGGGTCCGCTGAAAAAGGAGCAGGAGGAGGAGAAGGAGGGTGTGGGCGAGCGCAGGGCTCGCCGAAAAGGCAGGAGGATGACAAGGGCGTCATGCCTGCACGGTCCCCCAGCGTGAGCCCGACTCCGAGGGCGGACAGCGCGACGCCACAGTTGGAGCGTACCACGCCTGCCGAGAACGCGGTGCGAGCCACGCTGCCAATGCCCCAGCGGTCCGGTTCGTTCCCGCTGCCGGCATCTGGGTGCGCGGCAGCCGCATGCCAGGGCGATGTTGGCGCGCCAGTCGACGGGCCCCCCCGGCGCCAGAGCGCAGCAGGAGAGCGCCGGCTCCTCCAAATGCTCGCAGCCGCCTCGCCGCGTACCAGGACGAGGATGATTGAGGCGGCCCTAGGCGCAGGGCCGGACTGCGCACGTGGGCCGTCAGGAGCAGCTGGGCAGGAGGAGGTCGCAGGAAAAGGAGGCAGAGGAGGAGGCGGCGAGGCGGGCAGAGGAGGTGAGGAAGGCCAGAGTCAGGAGGCTGAGGACGAGGCCGATGAGGAAAAAGAGGTTGAGGAAGAACCGGCGAAGGGCTCTGCCTCAGCCGCCGGGGACAGGGCTGCTGCACGACCGCAGATGCCGTTGCTGGAAGGCGCGCGCGCGGTGCCCCTGCCAGCGATGCTCCCGCAGGGCGTGCTTCCAGACTCCAAGTGGGAGCGGTATCGCGTGCAGTGGCCGCCACTTAGCCCTGCGGACGTGCTGGCCCAGCAGTCCCACCCCGCATGGAGGCAGCCGGCGCACGACGCAGCCATGGAATTCTGCTTCTCCTCCAGTTCGGAGGGGGACATGTCGCTCTGGGAGTGGTACTTGCAGTTGGCCGCGGCGGGCCTGTTCGTCCATGAGGTTTACCAGGGGACGCCATGGGCTGACCGGGTCAACGCTTGGGGTGGCCATGGCACCAAATACGTGCCAGCAGTGCGAACCACAGTGGGCGTCACGCTGAATTGGTGGAAGACGGGCGCCTCAGGTGATGGTAGGATTCGCCTTGACGGTAAAGATCCGGCGGTCGAAGCCTTGCAGCCTCGAATGCGCCGGGCATTCGAGGAATACATCCCGGGCAGGACCATGCAGGGCAAGTTGACAGGCAACCAGGCGAATCGAGCCAA